TTCTAAAGTGATGTCCCCATTTAAAAGACTATCAATAAATGAGAAAGCTCTATCAATTAGATTACTTAAATCAGTGTCTTGAATATTTTCATTTGATTGTTGGAAATACTGTTGACGAAGCATAGAGAAAATACCATCGAACAGATGACATGTTGAAAAATGCATTGTTTTTATTTCGTACCAAATTGTCTTTGAATTGTGTCTACTTTGGTTGTCAATAGTGATTATTAAATCCCCATTTCTTTGTGTTTTAAATTCACCTCGTAAAAGTTTCTTATCAAGAGGAACATTTTCTTTCGAAAAAAATTTGTAAATTTCGCTGCGAGGTGTTTTAATTCGATATTCAACACTAACGTTGCACTCAAATTTTTCACTAGCAAGTGACCAGTGAACAACTCGACGAGCACTAATCGATTGTTGATGTTCATATTTAAAATGAGCATTGACTGTAAATGTATTATTTGAATGAACTCGTTTTAGTTCTTCAATATAAGATTTCCATTGGTCATGACCGGTTAAAGTCCCGGAATCAACATTTTCAAATGATTTCATGCAATTCAGTAGATCGCAAAGACGGTGAAGATTCTTGAAAGGTCTTAGTAAATCGATGATATCTTGAATGATTGTTTTCGTTTTAATGACGCTGATTATTGAATCATCTTTTATTGTGTGTATATCACTAAGTAATTGCTCAGCTCTATGTAATTTGCGTACTCTAAGCCATTCAATTACATGCTGAAAAATATCGATAAATTCGTCAAACCATTCTAACCATTTAACGACTTGTTGTATAAAACAGCAGAAGAATGTCTCTTTTTGATCAGTAACAGATATATCGATATCATTTGTTCTGCCAATGGAAACGATAGCAAGAATTTGCAATGGTGTAACAGGAAATTTGTAACGCTGCGGATCTGATGAAATGAGCATAGTTTTCAAATCGCAAAACGGAAGAAAGCAGCTAAAGTTCGATATACATAACAGATCATTATATGTTTTACGTGTGCCTGTAATTACAAAAATAGAACTTCACAATAAATGATTGTCTTATAAC